GACGGGAAAGGAGGCAACAACAGTCGAGCAGAATGGAGCAGACCCCTTAATGAGCGGCGGAGCAGCAATATCTTTCCTTACGTACTTGCCTCTGTCATTGCTTATCCTCGCTCACTGGTGCTGAGCCTGTTGATGCTTCTGAGCCGCATAGGAGTGTGCAAACGCACGTAAGTACTCCAGCCGATGATGAATGGCTCAAGGAGCTTCGAAATGTGCATGAGGCTTTGAAGGCCTGAATATTTTCAGGAACATGTAGGTCGACATGTGCTGGGCCTTTTGTTCCTCTTTTGTCGGACTTGTTATCTACAGTGATTTGCACGCGTGCCGATGGTCAGCTGGTGAGCAATATTAACAGATAAAGTTGAGGTCTGACATGTCCGAGAGCAAAGAGTGTGGCACACCCCAAACGGGGAGAGGTACCACCTGACACCAGAGTGTTGGGGGCTGAGAAACGCTACTCATTCACTGGTAGCGTGCACTCTCTGCAATGTTTGCTTCGACTCAGCTGCCAACGTGGTGTAAGAAAGAATTCGCCATCAATACACTTCAGGAGAATCCAGCAAGAGCCTTGGTCGAGGCTCATCCTGAGGAGGGGTGTTGAGGAGCATTGCTGGCATCTCGCTTCTGTGTGAAGCATGGAGGCTCGAGTTGAATGCCAGGCTGACTGTGCTAGGTGCAGGATTGTATAGTACCTGTACTAAACCTTTATGGGCGCGTGCGGGTGGGCTTGCGGTGTGGTGTGGGGTGGACGTGTCCATCTGAATGAGATTAAGAAACATAACATTTCTTTCATTTTCAAGTGCATTTAGCGAAAATGATTTGTGTCAATTGATTTGCATTTCATGGTTCATGATTTGCTGATTTGCGTCTCTTGGACTGAAAACCATTCCACTGGGACAGTTGAGAATATGTATTCGCCCGATCCTTTGGGCTCGGCGCTCTGCGGAGCCAAAGTGGGAAGGGGGGGCTCATTTGAGTACCCACCCACCCAACCCTATATTGGAGGGGAGTTTTCATTGCGTGAGGTGCAGTTGGCACAGCACGCGGTCGGGGGTGCATGTCAATGGACATGCATTCTACTCCATCCTCCCGATTTCGCGCTTTTCGCGCAACATTTTCAATAGCCTTCGCTGTTCGGCGATAAAACA